CAGAACTTGGCGGAGACAGCAGCCAGGTGCGAGAGCAGCTGGGGAACGTCCAGCACATCCAAGCAACTGGCGGTGCCTTTGCTGCCATTCTTGAATCTGGGTCTGTTGTGACCTGGGGTCATCCAAAAGCTGGCGGAGACAGCAGCCAGGTGCAAGAGCAGCTGAGGAACGTCCAGCACATTCAAGCAACTGGCAATGCTTTTGCTGCCATTCTTGAATCTGGGGCTGTTGCGACCTGGGGGTATCCACAACGTGGCGGAGACAGCAGCCAGGTGCAAGAGCAGCTGAGGAACGTCCAGCACATTCAAGGAACTGCTGGTGGTGCTTTTGCTGCCATTCTTGAATCTGGGTCTGTTGTGACCTGGGGTCATCCAGAACTTGGCGGAGACAGCAGCCAGGTGCGAGAGCAGCTGAGGAACGTCCAGCACATCCAAGCAACTGGCGGTGCCTTTGCTGCCATTCTTGAACCTGGGGCTGTTGTGACCTGGGGTCATCCAGAACTTGGCGGAGACAGCAGCCAGGTGCAAGAGCAGCTGAGGAACGTCCAGCACATTCAAGGAACTGCTGGTGGTGCTTTTGCTGCCATTCTTGAATCTGGGTCTGTTGTGACCTGGGGTCATCCAGAACTTGGCGGAGACAGCAGCCAGGTGCGAGAGCAGCTGAGGAACGTCCAGCATATTCAAGCAACCCGCGGTGCTTTTTCTGCCATTCTTGAATCTGGGGCTGTTGCGACCTGGGGGAATTTTCAACGTGGCGGAGACAGCAGCCAGGTGCAAGAGCAGCTGGGAACGTCCAGCACATCCAAGCAACTGGCGGTGCCTTTGCTGCCATTCTTGAATCTGGAGCTGTTGTGACTTGGGGTTTTCCAGGCTTTGGCGGAGACAGCAGCCAGGTGCACGAGCAGCTGAGGAGCGTCCAGAGCATCCAAGCAGCTTGATCCACACTATGGCGGAGACAGCAGCCAGGTGCAGGAGCAGCTGAGGGGGCTGTTGTGACCTGCGGTGATCCTCACTTTGCTGCGATTTGTTGAATCTGGGGCTGTTGTGAGCTGGGGTGCTCAACCCTTCGGCGGAGACAGCAGTCAGGTGCGAGAGCAGCTGAGATGCTTGGGGCGGTTGTAACATGGACACGGCACATCTGGCGCGCTTGAAAGTGTGTTCAAAGACTCGGATTGTCACAGTTTGAGTTGTTGAGTGAAACCGTCTTCGCAATCGAAGCAACCACCCCCCAACAGGAAGAAAGATGTGAGCAACAGTCAATACTTACCTTCATCGTTGTTGGCAAGTCTGGCCTTTTAGGCCTTTTGGTTCTGTTCATTTTTGGTAGGGGGCTGCAAAAACAACACGATGGTTGCTACCAAGAGTTGTGATGTTTTACCATCATTTGCGGTGAGGCCGCATGTCTTGCTTGCAGCACCCGGAGGCTTGCCGGGCCTTCCTTTGATGCTTTTCACACGGCTTTCCCTCGAGGGGCGAGCTGAGAAATAGTTGTGTGTTTGCCTTGAACCAGCCATAGGAGTAAATTGGGCGGGCTCCCTCCCATGACACCTGGGAGGTACCTGGAAGATCAAGTGAGCCACAATCAAAACCGATTCGGGTAAGTGAAGCTTAGTAAGGGCCAATCCCCTTGCCATAAATAGCTGCGGAATTCCGCCTTCTTGATTCTTCACATGGTTCTGGGTCGACCATTTTAATGCCGGGTTTTGAGTATGACGCAAATGATGATTCTAGTCATTGTTTTTCCGAGGTTCCCCCTTTTTTTGGGTGGTTCTAAAGGGAAACCCCTTTTTAGGGGGGTCTCCCAGAAAAGAAAAAAAAACAAAACACCGACAGGCCCATTTTTTGACCGTCTAAAACGCGACGGCTTTGCCAGGGGCGGTGGATGGCGAGCTTCAGGCCTGGCTTCGAGCGCGTTGAAGGGTACTAACCACTGTGCCAACTCGACCATCTAAGTGCTTGGATGTTCAACCAGTATTTCCATGCGGTCATAGGTTCCATGAGGAAGGTTCCAGGTGGAACACCAGGGTGTTCTGAACGGTTGTAACCTGTACCCCCTACTCCTAATACCCACTTTGCCGGGTCGGTTTTTTTTCAAGGTACACACACACACACACACCTCCTTTTAGTAGAGGGTCGACATGAACTAATAAAGGTATGGGGTATTTGGAGTCGGGGGTATACTATATTATACTGAAATGAAGTCATGGGCGTCCTATGTACCTCGCTCGAAACAAATTTCCCCACTCAACAAGGGCTGCCTAAAATCTATGGAGTCAGGTTTTGTCCGGCTGCAGCACGCAACACCCGAACCAAAGAGCTCGTTGCCTTAAATACCCCTTACACCCAATTACCCACTTTTTTAGGGTATCATGTAAACCCTCTACTAAAAAAGGAGGTACTCACCCTGGAAAACCGAAACCGGTTTTCCAAACAATACCAACTAAAAAGAAGGCCGAATCGGTATTTGGAGGTTCCGGGGGGTAGACCTAGAAAAAGGGTTCAAGGTGTTCTTCAACGAGGCTTGACCAGGGATCCGGGCGCCAAACCTCTACCCAAAAAGGGATCGGCATTTACCTCACTTCCTGAGTTCATGAACTTTATACTTTTTGGTTTTGGACCATTTTGGTGGTAAACAAAAAGTCTGGTTACTTTTTTCTGGCCAATCAACTCAGGAAGCGCGTTACCCTGGAAACCCAGTGTTCTTTCAGAAAAAATACCAGCTAGAAAAAGGCATCGGGTATTTGGAGTAGAATTTTGCCAAGGCCTCCAGGGGCAGCGACGCATCTCCGGGCGGTTGAAACCAGCCCCTTCCAAAATCCACAGGACTTTCTGACGCGGAAAGTGGGCAGCCAAGACATGTTGGCTTTTTTGCAGCCGAAAACCAGTAAACATGAAGAGAACCAAACAACTAAAAGACCAACCAGGTCCTCCAGTGGAGAGGTAGAAGAAGTCGGTACCCGATGTTTTTTTCTCTCGATTTTGTCTATTTTAGACACAGGGGGTTGCCTCCCAACCAAGGCACCAGGACCTAGCTAAAAGTGGGAAGCCAAAATAGGAAAGCTAAAAGGTCAGAGGTCGATTCGCTTTGGAGTGAAGACTGCTTCACTCGCCTACCTGGGTCTGTTCTTTCTTGAGTTGGTAGCCTTTTGGGGGGTTGGTTTAAACTGGACTGTCCAAACTGAGGCCCTGCCAAAAGTTTAACTTTTAGTGGGTTAACTGGAAACCCAACCACTAAACCAACTAAGAACAACTGAAAAACTAGATGTCTTTTAAAACTAACGGGACAAAAAGTTGAGCAAGTGGGTACGGGTCAAAATGAACCCACCAGGATATGGACCGCAGGTTTTTGTCCCTGTTTCCATTTACCAGGGCAAGCCATTTTGGGGTTCCCTACCCGATTTTTGACGCACAGATGAATCAAGAGGCACATTCTGTCCTGATTAGCACGACACCCCAAGAACCAGCATGTTCACTTGGGTGCGGCTCAAAATTAACCAGGAGGGGCCAACCGCAGTTTTTGGTCCATGTTTCCACTTGCCAGTCCAAGCCATTTTGGAACTCCGGTTTTTTGAGCCACAGCCACTTGCTTGCTGTCGACCCCAAGTGAAACACCCCGCTGATCACGCTGATCACGCTGCCCAAGGTTACCCCCAAGTTCACCCGAGTTAAACTCACCTGGAAGAACAGCTTGTAGCATTCGTTGTTTTGTTTACCTAGTCAGCCCCATTGGGCCCTTCCACTAAACACGGAACCCCCAAAGAGGTACCCCGAGCCATTGAGGGTTGGTTATTGAAAGACTCACCCCTAGCCCGTTGGACCCGAAAATATGAAGGCCCCAAAGACTCCCAAAGACCCCGGAAAAAAAAAAAAAAACGAAGGCCTGGGAGCCATCGCCCAAGGAAAGCTCCACTGGTTTGGTTTGGACAACCGGCAGGCTCCAGCGCCTAACCGAGGATGGGCTCGTTAAACCGACTAGAGGGAACCTGACCGTCTTTCTGGTTCTTGGATCAAGTTGTTTGCTGATTTGGGAAATCCAACCCCTGACTTCTAAGCTACTTAAACCCAAAAACTCCGGGGCAACACTGACTTCTCAGCCACTTAAAGACAAAAACTCCGGAGCTCAGCCACTTAAAGACAAAAACTCCGGGGCAACACTGACTTCTAAGCCACTTAAACCCAAAAACTCCGGGGCAACCCTGACTTCTAAGCCACTTAATGTCAAAATCTCCGGGGCAACACTGTCTTCTAAGCCACTTAAACCCAACAAATCCAACCCGATTTCTAAGCCAATTGAACCTTAACAAAAACTGCGGGGCAACCCTGACTTCCAAGCCACTTAAGCCCCCAAAGCATCCGGGGCAACCCCCTTCCAAGCCACTTAAACCCAACAAATCCAACCCCGACTTCTAAGCCACTTGAACCCCAACAAAAACACCGGGGCAACCCTGACTTCTAAGCCACTTAAACCCAACAACTCCGGGGCAACACTGACTTCTAAGCCACTTAAACCCAACAAATCCAACCCCGACTTCTAAGCCAGTTGAACCCCAACAAAAACTCCGGGGCTTCTAAGCCACTTAAACCCCAAACTCCGGGGCAACACTGACTTCTAAGCCACTTAAACTCAACAAATCCAACCCCGACTTCTAAGCCACTGGAACCCCAACAAACACTTCGGGGCAACCCTGACTTCTATCCAAGCCACGTAAACCCAAAATTTCGGGGCAACTCTGACTTCTAAGCCACTTAATGCAACAAATGCAGCCCCAACTTCAAAGCCACTTGAACCCCAACAAAAACTCTGGGACAACCCTGACTTGTAAGCCATTTATACCCCAAAAAGTCCGGGGCAACCCTGACTTCCAAGCCACTGAAACCCAACAAATCCAAACCCGACTTCTAAGCCACTTGAACCCCAACAATTTCTCTGGGACAACCTTGACTTCCATGCCACTTACACGCTTACACCCTCAAAACATCCGGCAACCCTGACTTCCAAGCCACTCAAACCTAACAAATCCAACCCTGACTTCTAAGCCACTTGAACCCCAACAATTTCTCTGGGACAACCTTGACTTCCAAGCCACTTAAACCCCCAAAACATCCGGCAACCCCGATTGCCACTTAAACCTCCAAAAAATCGGGGCAACCCTGACTTCCAAGCCACTTGAACCCAACCAATCCAACCCGACTTCTAAGCCACTTGAACCCCAGCAATAACTCCGGGACAACCCTGACTTCCAAGCCACTTAAACCCCCCAAAACATCCGGGGCAACCCTGACTTCTAAGCCACTTAAACCAACAAGTCCAACCCCGACTTCCAAGCCACTTGACAACAAAAACTCCGGTCCAAGCCACTTCAACCCCAAAAAATCCGGGGCAACCCTGACTTCCAAGCCACTTGAACCCCCAAAACATCCGGCAACCCCGACTTCTAAGCCACTTAAACCCAACAATAACTCTGGGACAACCCTGACTTCCAAGCCACTTAAGCCCCCAAAACATCCGGCAACCCTGACTTCCAAGCCACAAATTTAGCTCGGACCGTCCGGTCGGCCATGGCTTGGTCCCATCCGCCCTCCGCCGAGCCCTCGGCGCGAGGCGGCCTTCGTGCGCCAGCAGCGGCCCCTCCTGGCGCGGCTGCTGGCTCTCCAAGCGACGCCACTGGAAGGCGGGGATCAGAGAGCGCCGCACGGAGAGCGCCCTCGCGTGGGTTGGCAGGTTTTTCTTGTATGGTCTCCATGAAGCCTGGAAATCAACATGGTAGCCAATCAGGTTTAACAAGTGGAGGTTTGGGGGGGGGGCTTCCACAAACCACACACGGGTTTCCATCAAGGCAGGCCCCATTTCTTGCTGCGTTTTCATGGTTTGTTTTTATGGCCTCCTTGAACCATAAGAGGGTTTGGGTCTCCATGAGCCATAACCATGGTTGGTTTGGGGTCTCCATGAACCATAAGATAGTTTCCATGGTTTGTTTGGGTCTCAATGAACCAAAAGAGGGTTTCAAGGGGCTGGCAGGTGGCTTTGTTTGGGGGTCTCCACGAAACATAACTTGGTGGCTCCCAGCCATGTTCAACTTTGCTTTTTCGCCTTTTAAAGTTAAACTTTTGGCGGGGGATCTGAGGGCAGCCCAGATAAGCGGGTTGCTATCAAGGCCGGCGCGAAAAAAGGCAGGGAAGGAGAAATAGAGAAGGAACCCAGGCTCTCGCCCCGAAACAAAGTCGGTGGGAGGTTTCTGTTTTTTGTTTCTCTCTTTTTCTGTCCCGGGGTCCTATGTCTCATCCCCTTCTCGCAGCCAACCCAGGGAGTCCAAAGGCCGTTTCGAGCTGCGGAGGCCGTAAAAAAAACACGGGGTTGGTTTTTTACGTTGCCTTCTTACGGGCTTGTTTACGTCCTTCTTACCGGCTTTTTTACGTGGCCTTCTTACGGGGTGTTGACAAAACCGGCCGTTGACCAAAGGCCTAAGCTGCTCGGGCCGAGGGAGCAGCTCCGGGCAAGTTTGTGGGGGGAAGAAGTGGAGTCCAAAGCAGCCCGCGGAGCCGAAGGATCCGAAGGGCTTGGGTCCCAGACGAATCGCATCGCGCGGTTTCCCGTGACCGCCAAATAGCCCGGGCCTTTTGCAGTAGGACAGGTGTCTTCCCTGTTGATCAGCGTTGCTTAGCTCCCCCTACTCCAAAGACCCGGCCTTTTTTCTCGGGTATGAGGTCGACCCTTTGCTGAAGGGATCGATCGGAATTTACCCCGGAAACCCGACCGTTTTTGTCCATAGAAGTACCAACTTATAAAAAAGCGGGCATTTGGAGTAGGGGGTAGATCCTTCTAGTGTCGAGCGGGAACTTCCGAATTTCGCCCACGAAAAGTTCGTCAGGTCCGTTAGGGGGATTCACGTATCCAGGAGTGTCCCGTTACTTCGGGTTGGTGCCGGGGGGATTCCTAAAAATGAACCGTGGTAGGCACTTGGGTGTTCAATTGACTTGGTATGTTGTGTGGTGTAACCCACCAGGTCCCCTGTGAAAGCGGACTTAAGGTGGGGTATCAGAAAAAATCAGGTGGCGATTGCCACTTAATTGAATCGCACATCCAGGCTGTACCCCCAATAGTCGGGGAACCCCGAAAAGCGAACCACGACTGGGCCGAAATCAGCTGGAAAGGCCCCGTCTCGGAGATCGCTGACCTGGGTCACCTGAGTTGGTGGTTTGGATTTGGACTTGAACGGGCGCCTGAAGTCCCTGACTCCCTGGGGTGGTAGAGCGTGCATGGGGTTTTCCCCGAAGCACCAAACCAATCCAAACCACGAATCTGTGGAAGCTGCTTCAGTGGAGTTCGCCCTGGGTTAGAACCCACTTGGCAAATCGAATATCCAACTGTGCCGGCTTTCAGCTGCCCAGAAAACTCAGCCGGTCTTTGGCCGCGTGTCAACGAGCTGTCGTACCTCAAGCGCTCCCCAGTTTCAGCGGCCGCCTCTTTTGGGGGTGCCAAGTCCGAGAATTTTGAGGTGGAGTCTCAAATCGGGCAAAGTCAACAGGTTTAGGCTCGGTTTCTGGGTTTGTGTTTAGGGTGGGCTACAAGTCAGTTTTGGGTGGCTTTTGGGGTGGCTTTTGGGGTGGTTTTTCGGGCGGGTTTAGAGTGATTTTTGGGGTGGGGTTTAGGGTGGCGGGTTCTTACGGGTCATGTTTTTGCGGGTGTTTTTGGGGGTGGGTTTCGGGTGGGTGGTCTTTGGGGTGGGCTTAGGGTGGGTGGTTTGGGGGCGGGCGGTTTTGGGCGGGTGTGGTCCTCAGCTTCGCGAGGCCGGGAGCCAATTCTCGAGAGGCGCGAATCGGTTCGGCGGAGGTTTCTGGGAGCGGGCCGGAAAGGACGGGCAAGTGAAGGTTCAGGGACGATGCCCTTGCCAATAGCTGCGGAATGCCGAAATTGGTTCTTGAGGCATGGTTCTGGGTCGATGATTTTGTGTACCAGCTTTTGATTGACATGAACATTCGGGTGGATTCATGTCCACTTTTGAGGTAGCCAACTCTTGAAATTCATAGCCATGTGGATGGTTGAGAAATCCTCTTAGGCACCACCATTCTAAGAAACCCGAGTTTCTCATTCGAGTCCCCAACGCAAATACCAAGAAACAAATGGTTTCAACCGCGGTTTCATTGATTTCGCAACCATTCACAGTCGATCGGTCCAAATTGGAACCCGATCGGATGGACAAGGAACCTGTGGTGAATGGCTCAAGTTCGAGCGCGACGGATGTCTGGGTGGCTCCTTGTTCGGAGTTGGCGCCACCGTTTTGTTGCTTGGAGTGGGCAAGGCTTTGGATGTGTAGAAAGTTGGACTTGCGCGCCTTGTCCTTTTTTGAGGGTCCCTTTTGGGGTCGTAAAAGGGAAACCATTGATTCTGGCCTTCTTTCCCTTGAAGGAAAGTCATCCGGGCTATAACAAGATTTTGCCCAGATACATTGGCCTTGTGCGTCTTTTGAAGCGTTTTGGGAACGAAAGGTTGCGAAGGTCCGAGGGGCTTTGCGCGGTCAGGTCAAACATTGAAGCCTACCCGCGGCTCCAAATACCCGGCCTTTCTCTAGGGTATTCTTGGGAAAAAGTTTGGGTTTCCATGGTAAATGCCTCCTTTTTTAGTAGAGGGTCGACAAATCATACCCTAGAAAAAGCCAGGGCATTTGGAGGTTACGGGGGTATGGATTGGCCCATGGCCCAAACTCATCCCACCCAAACCCAAGACCTGGCTCGTCCGGTTCTTTAGCTTCCTAGAGTGTTTAGCGGTTTCCATGTGGCGGTTTCGCCTTCCAGTAAAAACGGGCGGGAAAATGAGCCAAAAGCCATGAGCTGAGCCAAAGCCGCAACGTTGGCGCTTAGCTCCACAGATTTCCCCGCAGTTTTTTTCCTCAGGTTGATCCGGCCTGAGCCAAAACCGTCCAGGGTCGGACAGCTTTGCGCCTTTCCTTGCCCCTTGCACCCACCCAATACCCGATGCCTTTTCTGAGTTGGTATCGTTGGTCGACCCTTTACTCAAAAAGGGCCCTTTGTATGTACCTTGAACCACCGAAACCGGTTTTCCAAAAAAAATACCAACTAGAAAGAGACCTCGGGTATTTGGAGGTTACGGGGCCCGGTACCCGGGCTTTTGGGTCTGCCTTCAAAGCGGTCTGGTTCTTGACTGCTATTGGGCAACGGATCTTGTGACTTTAACTTTTTGGTTGAAATAAAGTTGTGCTTTCCACCAAACCCCCAAACAGTGATTCGCTTCTTGCAGGGGGGTCAAGAGCAACCAAGGGTTTTCAAACTGGTTTTGCCAACGAGTCGGTATTGGGTGTAGGGGGGTGCCTGGAAGCACTGAGTTTGTTCCACGAACTTGTTTTGAGCGAGCATCTGGTCATCGGGAAGCTGTTGCAGTGGTATCACGGAAGTGGGGGGCAATTCCCACTCCTGATTCTTTCTGTTTTTTCCGGCGGACTTTCAGAGCGCAAGTTGTTTAACAGGTTGCGAGCAAGCACTTTGCGACCCAACACGAGGACATAGATGCACGCAGCCAACACGCAAAGACCCGCCATATGAAGTTCAACAAGTAATCGACACAGCTACACCAGACGACAATCCATCAACAGAAGCTCCAGCGCTTTCTGAGAGCCCTGGATCAAGAACAAGTACCCCCTACTCCAAATACCAACTTTTTAAGGTTTTTTTTTGGGGAAAACCTGGTTTTGCCATGGTAAATACCTCCTTTTTTAGTAGAGGGTTTACATGATACCCTAAAAATAGTGGGTATTGGGTGTAAAGGGTAAAATCCCACAAGAATAGCCAATCCCGTGCCACAAACGCGAACCACAACCCGACCACCGCAGAGTCGTCGTGTCGGGAAATCCAAAGAGGCAGACGAGCCTGGGCCAAAGTCTCACGCTCTTCGGGGCGATTTGCCCCTGGACCCCGCAGGCCTTCCGGCCGCGAATACCCGGGCCCTAATCCCAAATACCCACTTTGGCCCTTTTCCAGGGTGCTTT